CTCATTTTGGGACTCTCCCCCACAGTTAATTTTGCCTGATGACCATTGATCTGAGGTCTTGATGCACCCCACAAAAGTAGTGCTAATTTCAGGGTATCTTCCACAATGGCTGGTTCAGGTCTACTGTGGCCCTGGTACTGACCACCAGTCTCATTGCTGCTAGCTGGCACTAAAGGGGTGGCATGGTGGCACAGTGGTTAGCACTGCTGCCTCACAGTGCCAGGGACCCAGGTTCGATTCCAGCCTCGGGCGACTGCCTGTGTGGAGTTTGCACATTCTCCCTGTGTCTGCTCCGGTTTCCTCCCACAGTCCAAAGATGTGCAGTTTAGGTGGACTGGCAATGCTAAATTGCCCATAGTGTTCAGGGAGGTGTAGATTAGGGGGATGGGTCCGGGTGGGATGTTCTGTGGTTCGGTGTGGACTTGTTGGGCCGAAGGGCCTGTTTCCACACTGTAGGGATTCTATGTACAATAAAACTCTCACCTCTCAGCTGTGGCATTAGCCCCACCTCCAAAACGTCAGTATAAATATCCAGACTGAAGCCCAGCATAGAACACTGAACATAGAACAGTACAGCATAGGAACAGGCCCTTCAGCCCACCATGACTATGCTGACCGTGATGCCATTCTAAACTGATCCCATCTGCCTGGACATGGTCCATATCCCTCTATTCCCTGCCTGTTCATGTATCTGTCTAAGTGTCTCTTAAATATTGCTATAGTATATGTTTCTACCACCTCCCCTGGCAGCATGTTCCAGGCACCTACCAGTCTCTGTGTAAGAAAAACTTGGTCTCATACATCTCCTTTAAACTTTCCCCCTCTCACCTTCAACCTCTGCCCCCCAGTGTTTGATACTACCACCTTGGGGAAAAGATTCTGACTATCCACTCTAAAAAACATTGCCTTTCATAATTTTATACACTTCTATCAGGTTGCTCCTCAGCATCTGATGCTCTAGTGAAAACAATCCAAGTTCTTCCAACCTGTCCTTATAGTTAATACAGACAAGATAAACCTGTTTTTTGCACCGACTCCAAAGCTTCCACATCCTTCCTGTAGTAAAGGACTGCAGACAATATCCACAAGTGGCCTAACTAAAGTCTTAATCAGCTGCAACATGACCTGTCAACTTTTATACTCAGTGCTCCAACCAATGAAGGCAAGCATGCTATAGGCCTTTTTCCAGTACTGAAGATATGCTGCACTGTTGGAGACAGATAAGATATTAAAGGTTCTGAATCTTCTCTCAGCTGCATGTAATCAATCCCATGTAAAAATCATACAATGTCTTTGCCGATTATTTCCCCTCAAGCAAAACATTAAAATGGATTATTTGGCGATTATGCCATTGTGGGAAGATGATTGTGCTCTAAAATTATCCCAATCTTTGCAGTTAATCAGGGATGGAGGATTTTAGAACAGTCATTATCGCCAGAGAAAAATGTGCTCGGCAAATTAATGAGACATACATCTGACAGGTTATCCAGACTTGGTGACTTCAGGTCTTAAAAGAAGTGGCTGCAGAGATATTGGAAGCATTGACTGTCATCTTCCAATATTCCATAGAATCTGGGAAGGTCTCACTAGATTGGAAAATGGCAAATGTAATGTCCCAAATCAAGAAAGGGAGGGAGACAGAAGTTGGAAGCTATAGGCTGGGTATCCTTGTATCTAGAATTGAGAAAATGCTGGTATCCATCATTGAGGAAGTAGTAACAGGACATTTAGAAAATCATGATGTAATCGAGCTGTGTCAACAAAGCTTTATGAAATGACAATTGTGTTTGAAAAGTTTCCTTAGAACTCCTTGAAGATGTAGCCAGCAGGGTGGATAAAGAGGGTCCAGTAAATGTAATATATTTAGTTTTCCAAAAGGTATTTGTATGATGTGGCATAAACTAAGGACTCATGACTTTAGAATAATATATTAGCATGGAATTGTCAAGCTTACAGAAAACAGTCAGGATAAATTGCTCATTTTTACCTTGACAAACTGTAACTAACTGGGTATACAGGGATCAGTGCTGCGTCCTCAACTATTTACAATTTATTTTTATGATTAGGATGGAAGGACTGAATGTACTGTTGCCAAATTTGATTTGATTTGATTTGATTTAATATTGTCACATGTATCAAGATACAGTGAAAAGTATTGCTTTGCGTGCTATCCAGACAAATCATACCTTACATAAGTACGTCAGGGTAATAGAACAGAATGCAGAATATAGCGTTACAGCTACAGAGAAGATGCAGAGAAAGATCAACTCTAACATATGAGAGGTCCATTCATAAGTCTGATAACAGCAGGGAAAACGCTGTTCCTGAATCTGTTGGTACACTTCAAACTTTGGTATCTTCTGCCCAATGGAAGAGGGTGGAAGGGAGTATATGTTGATGATGTTGGCTGCTTTCCTGAGGCAGCAGGAAGTATAGGCGGAAGCAGTGGATGGGACGTTGGTTTGCATGATGGACTGGGCTATGTTCACAACTCTCTGTAATTTCTAGTGGCCTTGGACAGAGCAGTTACCATACCAAGCTGCGGTGCACCCATATACGATGTTTTCTATGGTGCATCTATAAGAATTGGTAAGAGTCATTGTGAACATGCTGAATTTCCTTAGCCTTCTAAGGAAGTAGAGGTGTTGGTGTGCTTTCTTGACTTTGGCATCGATGTGGATGGACCAGGACATTTACTGATGATGCAAAGATAGATAAGAAAGCAGGTTGTTAAAAGGAGGCAAAGTGTCTGCAAAGGAATGTGAATATGTTGAGTAGGCAAATAATTGCCAGATGGAGTATAATGTGCTGAAATGCAAGTTAATGTAGATTTACGAAAGGAAATCATGCTTGACAAATTATTGGACTTTTTTGAAGATATAACTGGCAGAGTGGATAAGGGAGAGCCAGTGGATGTATTTTCAAAAGATTTTTGATAAGATCCCATATAAGAGATGAGCATGGAAAATTGAAGCATATGGGATTTGAGGTCATGTCCAAAATGGGTTGAGAAGTGGTTGACTGACAGGGAACAAAGATCAGGAATAAATGGGTCATTTTCCAAGTGGCAGGCAATGATTAGTGGGGATCAGTGCTTGGATTCCAGCTATTCACAAAATATATATTAAAGATTTAGATAAGGAAAATACATGTCATACCTTCAAGTTTGCATGTGGGTGGGAGGGTGAGCTGTGAGGAGGATGCAGAAAATTTCAGTGTGATTTCAACATGTTAAGTAGGCAAATATGTTGCTGAATCAGTGTGATGTGGATAAATGTGAGGTAGCGAGACCTGGGTGTCCTTTTACACCAGTTGCTGAAATTAAGCATAGAAATACAGCAGGTGATGAAGAAAGCAAATGGTATGTTGGCCAGAGAGGTCTTGCTGCAATTGTACAGGGCCTTGGTGAGACCACACCTGGAGTGTTGTGTGCCTTATCTGAGGAAGGATGTTCTGGTTATGGAGGCAGTATAAAGGAGGTTTACCAGACTAATGGTGGGACTGATATACAGGGAGAGACCGGATCAGTTAGGGCAATATTCCCTGAACTTTAGAAGAATGAGAAGGGTTCTCATAGAAACCTAGAAAATTCTAATAGCATTAGACAGGGTAGATGCAGGAAGGATGTTCCTGATGACTAGGGAGCTGGGGGTCACAATCTGAGAATATGGGGTTGGCCACTTAGGACAGAGATGAGGAGAAATGTCTTCACCCAGATAGTGGTGAACCTGTAGAATTCTCTGCCACAGAAAACAATTGAGGCCAAAACATTGAATCTTTTCGAGAAGGAGTTAGATATAGTTCTTTGAGCTAAAGCGATCAAAGGGTGTGAAGAGAAAGCAGGAACAGGGGACTGAGTTAGATGATCAGCCATGGTCATATTGAATGGGGCAGGGTGCTTGAAGGGCCAAAGAACCTACGCCTGCTCCTAATTTCTATGTTAATACACTTTGGTAGGAAGAGTAGAAAAGAACAATATTATTTAAGTTTTGATATACTGTAAAGTGCAGTATGGTGAAACTTAGGTGTCCTCATGCATGAAATACGGAGAGTTAGTATGCAGATGTGGCAAGTAATTAGGAAGGCAAATGAATGCTGGTCTTTATTGCAAGAGAGGGGTGAAGTATAAATGTAGGGAAGTCTGGCTACAAGTACACAGCCCAGTGGTGAGATCTCCTCTAGGATATTGCCTAATGCTTTGGTCTGTTTATTTAAGGATGCATAAATTATGATTTGGAGGCAATTCAGAGTAAATACCTTCTGAGATGAGTGGGTTTGCCTTAAAAGGTAATGGTTGAGTAAGTTGGGCCTGTACTCATTGGAGTGTAAAAGAAAGAGCAGGTCTGGCAGCATCTGTGAAGAGAAATCAGAGTTAACGTTTCAGGTCTGGTGACCCTTCCTCAGAACCTCAGTCTCCGGACCTGAAACGTTAACTCTGATTTCTGTCCACAGATGCTGCCAGACCTGCTGAGCTTCTTTCAGCAACATCTGGTTTTAGATTCTGAGGGAGTTTGATGATATGTTGAGAGAATGTTCCCCCTTGTGGGGGAATCAAACACTAGTGGTCACAGAGGTCTCCTCCCACCACCAATAGGATTGTGAATCTTTGAAAGTCTCCACCCAGAGACTGAATTATTGACTATGCTCATTCTGCTATTTTTGAGTGGTTGGGGCGGGGGTGAGGGGTTGGGTATGGGAGGGGATGGGTGGGATGGTCAGGATGGTCAAGGGTTTCAGGAGGCAGGCAGGATAATGGAATTAAGGCCAAGATCAGATCAACCATGACCTTATTGAATTGTGCAGCAGAATCAAGGCTGAATGGTCTACTCTCGTTCTTATGTTTTCATTGGCCATTGTGTTTCCAAGATATCAAGAGAACTCGCATGTTAAGAGGCTCCACTGTGTTTAGGGAAGTTGTGAAAATGCAAGTCTTCATTTTGAAGCATTTTATTAACTCTTTAAAACCTGTTATTTTCCCTGATTTCCCCTTCCTCCCCAAGGAATTGAAGACACTTTCAAGACTGCAGCCACAGAAATGAGCCTAATGGCCGGAGGTGAAGATATAAATGCCACAGTGCTATTTGGTCTGGGTAGGTATCTGGTCTTGCTGGTAAAGCTGAAAGGCTATATTCTTAAGATCAATTATTTTTACAATCATGTGACAAGGCAATGGACTATATAATCAGCCGACTTCATACTGATACATGACATACCGATAAAGTGTCATGATTGTTCACCCAGAGAATGTTCTGAGGACTCGGGTTTGAATCTGCTAAAGCAAAAGGTGCAGTTTGAATTCAATAAAAATATGGAATTAAGAGTCTAACGATGGCCATGAAACCATTGTCAATTGCTGGAAAAACACATCTAGTTCCCTAATGTCCTTTAGGGAAGGAAACTGCCATCCTTACCTGGTCTGGCCTACATGTGACTCCAGACCCACAGCAATGTGGTTGACTCTTAACTGTTAACTGTTGATTCTTAACAATTAGGGATGGGCAATAAATGCTGGCCTAGCCAGCAATGCCCTCGTCCTGTGAATGAACAGATAAAAAAAAAGCAAGCGTGCCTGGGCTGTACGCTATGAAGAAAAAATTAGCACAAAATTTCTGATTGGCATCAGAATGAGTGACACTGGTCACAGGAAACACGTAGGAAGATAGAACATATGAGCAGGAGTCAGCCATTTGGCCCCTTAGGCCTGCTCTGTTACTCAATATGATCATGGCCAATCATCCAACTGTTCCCACTTTCTCCCCAGACCCTTTGACCTTTTAGCCCTAAGATCTATATTTAACTCCTTCTTAAAAACATGCAATGTTTGCCCAACTGTTTTCTGTGGCAGAGAATTCCACAGGCTGACCACTCTCTGGGTGAAGACATTTCTCCTCATTTCAGTCCCAAATGGCCTATCCATTGCCTCCTCTTGCCTACTCATGCTTTTTGTCATCACCCTTCGGATGTTGGGTGCTACGATTGAGAGGTGAAGCCACCCACCACCCACATCTCCCCAGTTGCCCCCATACACCCCTCCCTGTTATGACATTTCAAGAGCTCGCCCAAGTAATTTTTAAAGGTTGTGAGGCTTCCTGCCTCAACTAACTTTCCAGGCCATGCCTTCCAGACCTCTGGGCGAAAATAATTTTCCTTGAATCCCCGCTGAATCTCCTGCTTTGCACCTTAAAATGATACCCCCTATTATTAAGCCTCAATTAAGGGGAATAGTTGCTTTCTATCCACCCTCATAATCTTGTACACCTCAATCAGCATTCCTCCCTCTCTCCCCAGCCATCTCCGTTCTAAAGAAGTCACCTTTCACCTACTACTGACTCCCATGTGTGATAGTCAATGGGACCTCACCATTGCTGGTATGCTTGCAGTAGAACCTTGACCACCCCTCTGGCCATCCAGCTCCCACCGCCTCACCCTACACTGTCCTTCCTGCAGAATTACCATCCTCGTTAATAAAAAGGCTCTAGCTTGGGGAAAATCAGAACAAAAATTTGGATATTTGGAAAAGACTTGCTGGGAATGGAGGGGTTTGAGTTATAAAAATCAACTGGAAAGACTGGGATATTTTTCACTGGAGCATAGGAGGTTGAGAGGTGACCTTATATTGGTTTATAAAATTATGAGGGGTATAGATAAGGTGAATGACAAGGGTCTCTTCCCTAGGGTGGGGAGTCCAAAACAAGGGGGGCATATCTTTAAGGTGAGAGGAGAAAGATTTACAAAGTGCATGAGGGCAATTTTTTTTACACAGAGAGTGGTTGGTGTGTGGAATGAACTGCCAGAGGAAGGGGTGAATGCAGGCACAGTTATAACGTTTCAAAAGACATTTGGGCAAGTAAATGAATAGGAAAGGTTTGTAGGGATATGGGACAAACACAGGTAGGTGGGACTAGTTTAGTTTGGGAACATGATTGACGTGGACTGGTTGGACCAAAGGGTCTGTTTCCATGCTGTATGAATCTATAAATATGTGGGACACTTCCTACACAAGATCTTCAGATGTAGGAACAAGGCAATAAGAACGGGAGTAGGCCATTTGGCCCATTGTGGAGTGCTAATATCACAGGACTGGTAATCCAGGAGACTAGACTATGTTCTGGGGACAGGGATTTCAATACCCAAAATGGCAGATGCTGAATTTGATAAATGTCTGTCATTAAAAGCTAGTCTAATAGTGATCATGTAACCACTGTTGACTGTTGTTTGAAAATGCATCTGGTTCACTAATGTCCTATAGGCAAGGAAATTTTCCACCCTTACCTGGTCTGGCCTACATGTGACTCCAAAATCACAGCAATGTGGTAGATTTTTAATTTCCTTCTGGGCAATTGGGGATGGGTAATAAATCCTGTCCTAGGTAGCGACACCCACATCCCATGAACAAAGAACAGATCTTGCCCTGACATTCAAACAGTTGACCATCTACCTATAGACCATATTTCACCACTACTCCCAGAACCCTTGATATCATCATTGTACATGAAACTCTCAATTTCTGTCCTAAAGCTCAATGCCTGAGCTTCCACAGCCTCCCTCTGAGGTAGAGAATTTTAAAGATTCATTAACCTCCAAGTGAAGAAATTCCTTCCATTTTCCGTCTTAAATAATTTGCCCTTATCCTGAGATTGTATCCACTGGTTCTGGTTTCACTAGCTAGGGGAAAGTCAATGGACAGCATGGTGCCTCAGTGGTTAGCACTGCTGCCTCAAAGCGCCAGGGACCTGGGTTCAATTCCACTCTTGGGTGACTGTGTGGAGTTTGCACATTCTCCCTGTGTCTGTGTGGGTTTCCTGCAGATGCTCTGGTTTCCTCCCACAGTCCAACAATGTGCAGGTTAGGTGGATTGGCTATGTGAAATTGCCTGTAGTGTGTAGACTAGGTGGATTAACCATGGTAAATATGGGGATAGGGTGAGTATGAGTGGAATGCTGTTTGGACGGTCAGTATATTCTTGATGGGCTAAATGGCCTTTATCTGCACACTGTAGGGATTCCTACTTCCCATTTATAATCCAGCCTGTAAGGACTTTTGTAAGTCTCAATGAGATCGTCTTCGAAGTACAGTTTCTTCAATCTCACTAGAGCTTCAGTGAAACACAGTCCCAAGTGAGCCATTTCAGTAAATGATGAGCAGTTCATCCCTGGGTAGCTTCGATCCATCAGACTTCCAGTTACGAGTTAAATGTGCTAACCCATTGCACCATAGAGACAGAGGCCACTTGCAGTTCTAAGTGCTGTTATTGATGGTTGGCTTAATGGTAAAAAAGGGTTCTTATTAATTACCAGTTTAATAAGCAGCATCTCCCAGCTGGGATTTGAAATGTGCATCAGACAAGTTGGTGAAGTGAATAGTTTTTCTTAAAATAAAAAATGGTCATGTCTTTCCAGTTTAGTAAAGAATCATTTTGTTTTTAATAAATGGCTAAGGCAGAGTGACATATTCCCCACCAACCACAAAATAAGCAGATTGTTCCCTCAAACAGTCCTGAAGCTGAACTACACCAAACTCTGAGGCAGAAGGTCAGTGTTGATTTCATTGGATGGTGTAGCAGGCTCGAGGGGCCAAATGGCCTCTTGTTTCTCACGCCCGGAGTCCTGTCGGTGATCAAAAGTGGCTTTTGCAGTTGGGGTTTTTGTACAGGCGTTCAGGGGCTCGCTGTGTCATTTTTCACAAGTCGATGCCAGCGTTATAAAATGTTTCTCCTCCATTCCACCCCCTTCTGAAACCCTGCCAGATACCGACAGCTGCGAGAGGTGGATGAACTGCAAGAGTGAATTCTTGAAGAAGTACATGCACAAGGTTGTGAATGACCTCCCGAGCTGCCCCTGCTCCTATCCCACAGAGATTGCCTACAGCACGACCGATATCTTTGACCGCCCCAAACAGAAGGACTTTCGCTGGAAGGACGCGAGCGGACCCAAGGAGCGCCTGGAGATCTACAAGCCGACGGCACGCTATTGCATCCGCTCCATGCTGTCCCTGGAAAGCACGACACTAGCAGCTCAGCACTGCTGCTACGATGAGAACATGCAACTGATCACCAGGGGTAAGGGTGGAGGGACCCCTAACCTCATTAGCACTGAGTTCTCAGCAGACCTACATTATAAAGTGGACATTCTGCCATGGATCATTTGCAAAGGGGATTGGAGCCGGTACAATGAGGTCAGACCCCCAAACAATGGTCTGAAATGTACAGATAACCCTTCTGATGATGTGTACGAGAGGCAGTTCCGAGAGGCCCGGGAGTATTAAAAGCCTGGCTGCGATTAATAGACTGAATGCTCACTTTCTGGAGGAAGTGGGTTTATTTCCGTGTGTGGCCAGGCATCCAGTGCCCTGGATATGCGCACCCAAAGCATTCAAAACACCACAGAACAGAGTTCAGTCACTTGGCACCTTGTTGATGCTTCGTTTTTGCCTGCTCTAAACGTTTGAAGACCGTTTTTTTTTCCTTTTCCTTTTAGCAGCAGCAGGCTTGTAGTTCAAAGGGAACACTGTGCCCATTTTGAAAACAGTTAAAGGGAAACAAATTTGTTTAATCTAATTCCATTGGAGGGATCGGGGAGAGGGTGTGTGTGTGAGTGAGAGAGAGATGAGACAACCCATAGTATTCAAAGCATTCTGTGGATTGGAGGCATTTTCAGTGAATTCGACCATAAGCAAAGGAAGTGGCACTTTTAAAGAGTTTTGTCTCTCTCCCTATGTCTTTCATGTGCTCTTGAGAGTTCTTAAGAGCCACTTTATAAACTATTAATTGTACTGAAATCAAAATGTTACAGAGAATCTCACTTTAAGTTGTGACATAGAGAACTTTCTCATTGAAACCTCTTTTAAAAAATGTTCTTAAGATTTTTTTAAAATCTGCTTTATCATTGTATAGTATTTATTGAGCTGCAGTTTAACAGGCACTCATGCTCACACACACTCACACTCACACACTGTCACACACATGCAAACACTCTGTCACTCGCTCTCTTGCACACAGTCTCTTTCACAAAAACACACTCTCTCAAACATACTTACACACATTCACTCATGCACTCACTCACACACACACATGCACTCTCACACACACTCTCTCTCTCAAACGCATACATACACACACCCATCCTGTCATGCACAGACTCTCTCTAACACATGCACACAGACACGGACTGTCTTTCACTCAGACACTCTCTCACACACACACACACACACACACATAGATTCTGTCTCTCTCTCTCTCTCACACACACACATAAACTCTCTCATGCACACACACTCTCTGACACACACACTCTCTCACACCCATACCGATACACACACACACACACACACACACACATAGATACACACACTCACTCTCCCTCTCTCTCACACCAAGATATACACACCCACACACAGATACAGACACACAGATGCACACAGACTCTCTCTCTCACACACACACAGGCTCTCTCACGCTCACACAGACTCTCTGACACACATGCAGTCTCTGTCTCTCACACACACACAGACTCATGTACACACACACACACACACACACACACACAGTCACACACACACACACACAGACTCTCTCACACACACACACACACACACACACAGCTTCATCTGGTTTGCTTATTTTAGATACCATCTGGACTTTGAGCCATGCTGAACACAGCAAAGACCAGTGAGAGAGAGAGAGAGCTTTCATATGCCTTTTCGAGAAGCAAATCTGAAAATAAATTGTAATTGAATTTTAAAAGTAACCTGGAGGTTTTCCTTCCTCCTTCAGCACCCTCAACCCCTCCCCATCTTTTATCTTGTGTGTATATGTGTGTGTGTGTGTGTGTGACATGTTTTAACCTGCACCCTTTTATCAGTCCATTGCTATCAGATGGGGGCCAGTTCGTACAAGCGTTTGATCACTGACCGCCTGGAGCAACCAGCTGCTGACCCTCATGAGCAAGAACAAACACACAGATGAGATTCAGATGGGTTTGGTTGCTGCAGCTAGCATTGCTTGGCATTCTTGTAGCTTCTAATCTGACTGTCACTGCTCTGACCAAGTCTATTTTTAATTTTTATCCCAAAATCGCCGTTGGACCTTCTCATCTCCCAGAGAGAGGGGTGCAAAGTACATTTCTGTTCTCTGCTCCCTGTTTTCTTTAAGGCTGCAGCAGCTCTGAGATAGTTCGGTGTTAAATGCCAGTCCCTTACATTAACTCCCGCTTAAGGTTACATTATCCAGAGGGATGAGAACAACTGATCTTTATCTCCTCTGTCCAGGAAGCCCTGGAGATCAAGGCAAGGTGCATTTATTTAGCACTATGTCAAGTTAAAAACAGTTCAGAGGCAGATGTACAATCTGTCCAAGCCTGAATCCTTTCTGAATGACATTACCTGCCTTGGTAACTAGAACTGTACCAACAGACCATTCTCAGCTGCACACTGTTAAAACTGACATCCTTCAACACATCACAGAAATCTCTCTCTGAAACTCACTGACACTTCCACTGGTGAGAATGTGTGTCTTCTTAAAAAGAAATTAACAATAATAACCACATGTTTAATAATTTGGGGGACTTAAAAAAAATACCTCTAAAGGGCTGGCACAAAAACAGGAAGAGCATTTTAATAGATGCAGTGATTAGAGCTTTTCAAAAAGTTGCTAAGTGCTTTGTGATCAAGGCTGCCCTATAATCCAGATAAACAGGCTCTCTCTGTGATTTCTCCCACATGCTGTTCCTGATCCCAAGGAATGGGGATCCTCACTGGCTAATTATCTCGATTGGAGGCAGACAGGGAAGTTGAATCAGGCCCCAATATCACCGGGCTGGGATGGAATAGGGAATTATTCCGGGTTAAGTCAGCACTGGTTTACAAGTTATTGTTGAGAGGATATCCCTTATAGACTCATGGTGTCACACAGCACGGAAACAATCCTTTCGTTCCAACCAGTCCAAGCCGAACATAATCCCAAACTAAACTAATCCCACCTGCCTGCTCCTGACCCATATCCCTCCAAACCTTTCCTATTCATGTACTTATCCAAATGTCTTTTAAACACTGTGGGATTGTACCCACATCCACCACTTCCTCTGGAAGTTCATTCCACACGCGAACCACCCTCTGTGTAAAATTTACCTCTCATGTCTTTTTTTATAAATCTCTCTCCTCTCACCTTAAAAATGTACCCGCTGGTCTTGAAATCCCCCATCCTAGGGAAAAGACAACTACCATTAACTCTATCTATACCTCTCATTATTTTATAAACTTCTATCAGGTCGCCTCTCAACCTCCTATGCTCGCTTGGATAATAACACTTATTCTCGCCCCTCCTCTGATGACTGGCAACAGACTAATCGAGTGACTATTGGTTCTGAAGAAGGGTCACTGGACTCAAAACGTTAGCTCTGTTTCTCTCCCCACAGATGCTGCCAGATTGGCTGAGCTTCTCCAGCACTTTTTGTTTCTGTCTCAAGGATAATTAGAATGTTTAAGTTCTTTGTAGGTATCTGGGTAATCTTCCACATAGGCCACTTGAAGCCAGTGACAAAGTTAGACTGGAATGGCCTGGCTATGGGAGCCGCTTGCCTCCAGACGCTGATCTTCAACACTATAATTTGGAGTCCACGCTCGTCTTTATCCTTCTAGGAATGTATACACTGCCACTTCTTCACATCACATGAAGCAAACAAGTGACTAGTAGCACGTACATCATCTCAAATCAGGGCCATGAGTGACCAGGGTTAATCCATTTCCTTTGATGTCAGTATTGGGAGTTGAGAGAACTCCTGATTGCTCCTCTATGCCTCGAGACCCGGGCCTGAACCAACAGGGCAGGCAGATCTTGGTGTAAAGTTTTTCCTTAGGAATCACAGCTCAGACAATCTAGCACAGGCTCAGGGTTACAAATAGAATATGAGCTAAAGTTTTGTTATGGCGTTTGAACCGACAACAGACCAACATTTGAGTGACACAGTGCCTCAGTGGTCAGTTCTGCTGCCTCACAGCGCCAGGTTCAATTCCACCCTTGGGCAACAGTCTGTGTGGAATTTGCACATTCTTCCCAATTCTGCGTGTGTTTCCTCTGGGCGCTCCGGTTTCCTCCCACAGTCCAAAGATGTGTAGGTTAGGGTGGATTGGCCATGTTGCCCCATAGTGTCCAGGGATGTGCAGGCTAGGTGGGTTAGCCATGGGAAATACAGGGTTACAGGGATAGGGTAGGGGGTCAGGTCTGGCTGAGATGCTCTTCAGCGGATTGGTGTGGACTCATTGGGCCGAATAGCCTGCTTCCACACTGTAGCAATTCGATGATTCTATGAATATCGATCTTTACCCACAAAATGTGGACCTTGTTACTATAAGGAGTAGTCAAGAGGAACATAAAATGTAGGACCAGAAGTAGGCCATTCAGCCCATTGAATTTGCTGTGCCATTCAATGAGATCATTGGCACATCCGATAATCCTCAAATCCACTTTCCTGCCTTTACCCCATAACCCTTGATTCCCTTCCTGATTATAAATTTGACTATCCTTGAATAAATTTAACTACCAAACCTCCACAGCTCTCAGCGGTAAAGAATTCCACAGATTCACTACCCTCTGAGAGAAGAAATTCCTCCTCATTTCCGTCTTAAATGGGTGACCCCTTACTCTGAGATGAGGCCCTCTGGTCCTAGACTCTCCCACAAGGGGAAACAAACTCTCAGCATCTACCCTGTCAAGGCCCCTAAGAATCTTGTATGTTCCAATCAGTTTGCCTTTCATTCTTCTAAACTCCAATGGGTACAGGCCCAGCCTGCTGAACCTCTCCTCGTAAGATTTTCTCCTTTGAGGAGGAGCTAGGTAAGCACGAGCTGAGAAAGGTCTCAGTTTTTATCTTGATAGCATTAGACATAAGAGAGAGGGAAGAGATTCTGTGGTGTACGAAGGCTGGCATAGCTTAGTTGGACCGAATGGTCTGCTTCTGGGCCATAGGTTTCATGTAAATTGAATGATGAGGATTCAAATTCATCAAAAAAATCATGGATGTTCTATGTATCTTTGATCACTGAGTGTAAGTAGATTACTTACTCATTGAACTATAGATGGTCTGAAGATCGGGGAAGCCTAGGAGAATGGGAAATACTCTGTGATTGGCTAATTTACCTTTTTTGGCAAGGCTCAGGTACTTGCTTTGGCATAGTGGAGGTTGAGAACTCTGCCATCTTACTGTAGGAATGCCACCATCACTACAGGTGGCGCGCGGTCCATTCAAGCATTTTTTTAAACAGCTGATGGACCTGGTCATCTTAAGGACACCAAGTGTGTCTGCGCTGTAGAGGCTGGTGTGAAAGGGAGACCACAAGGTCAGGGAGCACATGAAAGGACAGGCCAGTTGAACTCAGTTGGTCAAAGGCACCCAAAGCAAGAGGTTTCAGCTGTTGGTCACTCAAATACTTTAGAGCAGGAAGAAAAGGCTTCAAGCAGCAGAGGGACTGACATCAGTCTTCAAACAATGGAAGCTCAGGAAGATTCCCAAAGAGTTGGAAAGGCAACAGGGAATCACTGTCTCTGCATCATATCGAGAGGAGCAAACAACGAAGAAGTCCCCATACAGCTGAAGTGCTGTGTTTGGCTCTGAGGGCTCACTGAAGTCTCAGGCATTGTTCAGTAGTTGAGATCAAGGGTGACAGCAGCCCACAATCAATATTTGCTTGGTGCAGGTGAGAAACATTGGAGCTGGGAGAAACCTAAAGGCATTGCCAGCTTAGTGAAACTAGCTGTCTGTGCAAGAGCTGGAAACGTGGAGAGTAGGTGTTGGAATGCTTCAGAAAATGAGTGAAACACAGACTCTGGGAAGAGATTTAACTACTAGGATTGTAGGCAGTTATTGAGGCAGTCTGTGATGGAGCAGCTTTTGAGAGAATTTCAATGTTGTTTCTCTGATAGTGAAGAGCTGGAATCCATGTGAAGAAAGCAAAGTTTTAAGGAGATTTGTTCATGCTCATCCAGGTGGAATGCTAAGTAATCTATGGGATCTATCTTGACCACATCCATTTGATGTGATATGTGGAGCTTCCAACCACAGTCTGTTAATTCTTATTTACCTCATGTTAACATGGAAGTTAGAATATAAGCTGTATAGAAAGTACATTATTTTAATTATTTAAACTTGTATAGTAAAGTTTAGTTTTGTTTTCAAAAATCTTGTAGACTTATTGTCT